GAAGACTTCCCCTTCTGTGTGCTGATACAGAGTCAGTAGATGATCTTATATTCCTACCAGAATGGAAAAGAATCTACTTGGCTTTGCATGGAAATAGAGAGAGTCAGCTACAAGTGCAAAGTTCTCAGAAAGGAAAGGCAGGGCTTGACTTCGCAGTTTCAGACAGTGCCACTGAGCCAAAAGGCTTTTCTGGCCAAAGATATAGTATCAACATACACTAAAATGCACTTCAAAAAGAAATGAGTAATAATAAAATTATATATAATGGTGTAAGTATGCATTAAGTGGAATTACTAAGATCAGCAATTCAGTAATGCAACTGCATGGCAAATTTAAGACACATAACTTAATATTTGAGACAAGACACTTAAGTGGCATCCCTTTGATGTGGCACACGACCCCCGCAGCTGCTCGCGCAGTCCTCAGCAGTACTCCAGGCTTCTACTACATCTCACAACAGTTTTCCTGTCACTTCAGTGGCAATCCATACGAATCTATCTAAGGTTTTGTGATAAAGATTCATATGGAACCACAAATTTTTCAAAATATTCTAGAAAAATGCATTAAAATGTCACCTGGCAGGACCATGCGAGGGACGCAGAGACTTTTGAGCAGGCTGCATGTTGCAGACAGGGTGAACTGTCCCGTCCCAGGATAACCCCCACACCTTTAAGGCCACCTTTACCACGAAGGAAGGAGTCCCCCTGCCTCAAGACTATCCCCCAACACCTACAGATACAACTGCAGGCCAGTGCACCCTGCAAACATGTTCAAGCAGCTCTGCTCAAAGTAGACAGATAAGGTTTTCTGGACAACAAGCCCATGTGATTGTGGAGCACATCTCCAAATAGAAGGAAATTTCCTTAATATTAAATAACAAAAATAGTTAAGGATATGCATGAAAACCTGAGAAGGTATTGGAGACACACTCAACTCACTGTCCCAAAGGGGCCCCAAAGAACCCCAGTGGTTTCCTGCTAAGCTCCCGAGTTGTCAGTTTGCAGATGGAGCCAGGACATACCAGGACCAGCCCAGTGTCAGTACGAGACACACAGGGTGTTTGCAACCAGAAGCAGAGAAGGGAGGAGTGCAGAGCCTCTCACTTCTGGCTCACCTCCTCCTTGAAACCACAGGCCAAACAACATGCCAAGTCCACCTAAGTTCATAACATAATGCTGAATTACCAGGTGATAAAACCTCAGCTCTGTGAAAACAGAAGTAACAGCCGGTATCAGGCATCATGTTTTTAGCGGCACTTTGGATACCACATCATGATGTGCAGTTATCAGCAGCTCCTTGCCAATGAAAGGCCGTTTGCATGGAGGCTGTGTGATAGTGGAGGGGAAGCAGCAGCAGTTCCTGCAACGCACCTCCTGTGTCAGCGGAGTCAGGAAAGCCACGAAGCTTCAGCAACCCCCTGGAGATCTACAGGTCTGGGAACACCAAGTTATATAGATAGCTGTTCCCTCCAGCCTTCCCTCTGCCGAGGGCTACATGGAACTGGAGTATGTGAACTCCTCGCCACCGAGTCAGCTTGTCTGAGCCCTGCCGAGGAATTCGAGATGTGTCCTCCTTCTGAGCTCAACTGAGGGTTGAGCTTTGAAGCACACTTCAGTCACCCATACCCATCACTTTGTGCTGTTTTCCCCAGCACAGAGCAAGCAATCGTGCATCTGCAGCTAGCTGCAGAGAAAGGCATTTTTCACCCTCCCTTTAGCCTGGCAGCTTGCTGGCTCCGACAGCCATCACAAGACACAGGTGGTTTATGTCTCTTGTGATAGAACCACCCATCGCAGCCTCTTGTTTCTGCCCCTGCCATAGCAACAGATACAACTGTTCATTCATGCCTGCAAGAATCAGCGCAGAACAAGTCCCAGAAAGCACCATATTTCACATGAGCAACTACTGGCCAGCACTTTGAGCCCACCCAGCCTCCTAGATCCCGCAGTTAAGCAGCAGCCCATCTAGATCCATTCCCCCAGACAACCCCTGGGAGCTTCTCGTGGTTGACTAATAACCGTCCTACTCCAAACTCTGCCATTCTCCCCAGAGCCCTGGAAGGGCCTGGATGATCCCAGCAGTGTCCTGGCCCAAGTGAACGCTCGGGACTTGCTGCCTTGCTAGGAGACGCTGCAAAGCGCGCAGCCTGTCCTGCGCCCTGCGGCACGTCAGCCACTCTGGAGGGCAGAAACTTCCACGGAAAAACTGCACTGCTGTTCAGCAGAGCTCCCCTAGCAGCAACCTTGATCCTAACTTTAATTTAATATAACTTTAAACCAAATTACATTAGGGTTAACTTAACTAAGTTAAGTAAATTTCATTAATTAAATTAAGGCTGTGGTTCCATAGTCATTTTGAAGTGACCTAAGTGTGGGTTGCCCCTGAAGAAGGTGGCTCCAGCAGCCTTCCCTCCCCAGCAAGCCCTAGTGTTGCCACCTTGCTCATGCTGCTGCTGCTAACCATAAAGCGAAGCTGGGCAGGAAAACGGAAATCTGAAAGCTGTTGAACCACGAAACAGAAATTCTAACCAAAGCAAAAGCAAATCAGAAAAGCTTCAAGTCATTCTTATCCCAGAAGCAAAATGAGGCACAGACCTAGTTCAATTTAATAATTTTCACAGTTCTTAAATCTAACTCCATTAAAGACCTAGTTCAATTTAATAATTTTCACAGAAGTTCTTAAATCTAACTCCATTAAATATGCATGCAAATATTGCATTTTGTAAGCAGTACAATTGTTATAGATTTATACAAATCTGATTTTCACTTCTCTAACACTCCCTTTTCTTCTCATTCTATAATCTTTGTTCAGTCACATTCCGGGCTACTTTCTTCCATCGTAGCAGCCCTCGCTACAGGCTGTCTCGCTCCCAGCATTTCCCACTGTTACCATGTCTACAGCAAGCTTGTAGCCAGTAACCAGCCAAGCACTTCTAGTGCTCTGGACCAGAAGTAAAGTAGCTTTGTACAGCAGGCAACAGGCAGTTGCCCATGTCAGACACCTGGCTCAAAAGCGCAGGCTGAAGAGACCCCGTTACGACATTCTCTAAAAACATGGCATACGTAACAAAGAATAAAGTGCAACCCTAAATTCATTTTAAACAAAGTAACACACCTTTAAGTGAAAATTATTTCATATAAGTTTGAAAACTCCAGCTTTTTGTAACTTACGGTGATTAGCTCTTCCCCCCCACATCCCACGTCATTTACATGCAGGAGTCTTTGCTTAGGAGGCAGTGTCTTTTATACACGTATAAGTGAAGTGTGTGCACACACATGTAAATCTATATATATACACACAGAACAGGAACTACTTACATCCAAACATGTATTTTGGGTTCCAGTTCTATTTTTTCAGCTAAGGAAACTAATTTGCAAAACCCAGTTAGCTATATTTCTAGTAGGGGTGCAAACATAGTAACTTATTCCCTTTGCTGTATATTAGTTAGCTATAATACATCTCTATGCTACTGTAAACACATTCATTCTTGGAAAATTACTAATCATACTAGCATAATTGAAGTTGTTAAAGGCTTTTGCTTTATATTCAGTCAAAAGCCATCTGAATTGGTACTACCCAGGTTCTGTAATGCCTGGAATCCATGCCAATTCATTTATTTCATGCCTCACCAAGATACTACCTTTTCTCTATTTGGAACCCCTGGTTCAAATAAAAGAATACCCTTAATTATGTTGGTAAAGCTAAAAAAAACCTTAGCTACCACATAAGCTGCAGAATTATTTAGGCTTACTCATAATTTGCTAGTAATAACCACAGCAGGTATGGAATATAGTAGCTAACCTCTTGGTTTCTGACAGTTTACTTAATTTGAAGACAGCAGTTCTGTTCAATAACTATAGCATGAAAACACAATTTCTAATCAGTTATAGTAGCATAAAGTTGTTTTGCATCATATGTACTCCATCAGGAATATGTGGCAAAAATGTCATCTTAAAGCTCTACCTGGTATTTGTCATCATTACACCTCCTGCAGCTCTACACAGAAATACTGTGCATCTTAACAAGGCAAAGAATAATTTGACCTAATGTAGCCACCACTTTTAGACATGTTTGTTAACAATGTATTTACAGGGTTTCTGGCAGTGACCAGCAAAGAGAGGAAGAAAGTACATTCCTCATTTAGAGACCTTAAGTCAGTCAGCCTGCCTTACATACAGCTCTATTGCTTCTAGTAAATAGAAGAATTTAACCAATTTCCTCTGGCTCATTTCTTAGGAGTGTGAACCTTACTGTGTCTTAACCATGTTATTTCCCAAAATCTCTAATTTTGGGAACACATGAGAAAAGAATAAAAAAAGAGACTTCACTACGTAGTGAGAAAAGAGGAGGATTTTCAATACACAGTTTTGCATTTCAGCATCATTTGCTTAACCTGAAGTTCAGTTGCTCCTGTAAGAAAAGCAGAAAACACTCCAACATAAAATGCTTTTCTGCTCAAATCTCCACAGAGATCAGGAGTCTCTTGTTGAGACAGCCAAGATGGGTGTGATGAACAGAAATTTCAACGTGTTCTTTATGTCTGGCAAGATGAAATCCAATAAAATCAATACTGTTTGCACAAAACCCAAAACTAACACAGCAGAGGACTGTATTCCTGTCCAAGATGCTCTGGCATAACTCCATCAATAGCCTTTCCAATATGATTAAGAAAAAAACACCACCACCACCACACAGAAATCAGTGATGAGCAGCCAACACTGACCTTGTTCTTCACCACGAAGACCCACAAACTACAACAACACCTGACTACAAAGTTTGTTTTGCTACAAAGGTAACTCTTAGGAGAAGTCCCAGTCACAAAATAACCCTTTAGAATGATATTTTACAGAGGACAAAGATGATTCACATGCCAAGGAACAACTGAGCAGTTGGAACATAAATATCATCTATCTGCTCTCAACTGAACAGCACCCAAGAAAATGTTCAAATGAATCCTAAGAAACCCATGATTCATTTTCCTAATGAGACCTTTGAACATATAGAGCGCCAAACACATAGAAAAGAATACTTCATTTATCTATAAATTAAACTAAGAGCTCCCTCTTGAAAGAATATATGATTTTAGCAAACAAGAAACATCATTGTTACTGACAGCCCAGCAAATACCTGGCCCTAGATAAGTCAGACATGCTACAGTGATTAACTTAAACTTTGCTTTTAGTCCAGCTCATGCTGAACTTTCAAGAGCTTTGTTATAGTCAGCAGAACCAAAGCTGATTTTTGTTACAAAATTCTTCTATTTACTTGATTTTTGTTTAGATACATCTTCAGAATTAGCAGTCATTCCCAACTGTTGCAGTAAACTACCCCCTTTCACTCCTTGTATTACTATAAGCAACTGGAAGGCAACTAGAGTCAGTTTTTCTTCAGATCTTCCTTTTTCCTGTTGTTGTTCAGCAACACCAGCTGACTAAGACACCAAACACAAGGCTAGCTACTGCACATGAACATCAGCATAGAGCCCTGAACTGAGTACTGCAGAAAAAAAAATCTCACCTTTAATTATTACTTTATCAAACCTCAAAAGAAAAACTGGATTTTAGGTATGTAAATCCACCTCAGATTTTCAAGGCTTTTCAGATTTCCTGAACATTGTGGCAACTTTGGCTTCAAGATTCTTTTGACTGTTACTCTACGTAATTAAAAGGGGGTTAAGAAAAGAAAAAAAACATTGTGAACTTACGTTGAATGTGAATGAACTGCTTTGGTTGCTTAAACTCTCCTTTATACAAACGATTGTAATAGTTGACATTGCTCTCTGCTTCGGGAACTGGGATAACCATGCTCTCTTTCTTTTCTCGGAAAACTTGTTGTGCCGAGATAGCCCGTTGCAAATGGTGTTCCTGCAGGAGGAAAGTTAGAATTTGTTTATTTAGATACCAACATATACAAGTGCAGATTGCTGACTTGGAATCTGCTCTGAGGCTCCCTTCTTTCACAGAAATCCATGCAACCTAGTTTTGCCTATTCCAGGGACTATCATCTACCCATTCCCACACATCAACTGCTGAGGAGAAAAAAAAAAAAAGGAATGTTTGAACAGAAGAGAGACTTCTCTCCCCCATTTTGGGTTTCTGGGGTTCACTCACCACAATGAGCTCCAGCATCCATCCTGCCTCACAACACAAGGTACCAACACCATAAGCAGCAAACCAGCCCCTTTTGGCAACCTGGTTGCAAGGCAATCTAGCACACACACCTGCCTGGCACTCACACACTCTGTACTATACATTTGGTAAATTCTGTAAAGACTGGATTTTTCCTCTTCTAACTCCGCAGAACATCTTTTTTCAGGGCAATGTATAAAAGCAAATCTTTTGAATTATGTAATCAAAGTTATTTTGTAAGTGGTAGCCTCTTAAATATTAAGATCTTGCAGAAAGATCTTTTTGCAATTTCTGCAAAGTCAGAATACAACCACAAGTCAGTGACTGAAAGAGTAGAATTGAAAACCTCTTGTAGCAGATAAAATGACATTAAATCAAACTATCAGGCTCCCAAGTGAATGCTATTAAGACAAGCATGCAATCAAATACCTGGTGTGATCTGCCTGAGTTACCACACACTGAGTAATCCTGTCACTCCACCAATAAAACATGTCTTGTAGAGCTTCACAGAACTATGTAAATCGATTTAAAGAAAAATGGTTTATTCTCTTGCTGCCTTTTTTTAGTTGTTAATGCCCCTAGAGTTGCCTCCTGGCAGCACAGCACACACAAGAATCCCGCCGAAATGCTGCCAGAAAGGACGTCTGCAGGTTATTTGTCCAGCCTCCCGCCCCGAGTCCATCATCACCACCTCTAAGATAAGTCAACCAGGACTTTGCCAAGCCCTGAAAACCATCGGGGACAGAGATCCCAGCCTGTATCCATGCCCAGTGTCTGTGCATCCCTGGGGAGGGACTGCAGACTTCTCCTAACACAGTTGTGAAGCTTTAGCTGGCCCTGTCCTCAAGTTTCTCAGCATCCACCTAGATGAAACCTCCACTGCTTGACAAGCCACCAGCATCCTCTACAATAGGATGATCAGCAAATATACTCGGGCTGCACTTTTCCATGTCCTTTTTGGAAAGGAAGTGAAGTTGACCAGCTTGTAAACCCCAAATCTGTCCTTTTGCTTGCTTTTTCTGTACTTGGACATAATGCCATTTTCTCCTGGTCACCACAAATCTCCCTCAGCCATGGAAGTTTTGATAGCTGTTAACTACTGGCCACACAGTCAAGCTTTTCCAGCAGCTTTTGGATCCCTTATCTTCATGGATTTCCTCCCTAAATGTCCAAAGGACCAAGAACATTTATATCTGTGTTATCTGCATCTTGTTTCCATCTTTTGTATTCTCTCTCCATGCATTTCAAGCTCCTTGTGATTCCATATCAGTGATCCACATCTCAGTGCAAAAGGTCCAACAGTCTGTTTCCACCATTCTTGATATTTGCAGAAGACATTAAAAGCTCCCTTCATGCTATCCTTAATCACTCTATAGGACAATCCACTTGTCTCTTCAAAAGATCTTATTAATCTAGATGATTTTTTCACAGCCTGATTTGTGCAGATCTGTGCTGTCTCCCCTACTTTGCTATTTAACTCTTCTCCCCCCACCCAAACAGTTTAAATTACATAAATTATTTCTTCTTACACTTTAAATAAAAATGCAAACACAGTCTGTCAAGATGATAAGCATGCACACAAAACGCACCACTGAGCACGAATGTATAGATATGAGTCCACAGGGCATCAAGTAATTACTGGGATGTACCTAGCAGGCACAGTCCTGGTTGGAACCATGGGGACTTAAAGGCCTTTACTGGGCTCTCTTAATCCCCGCTTTACTCCACATAGTCAGGGTTTCCGTTTCTTCTTCTCAGCCTTTTACCTTGATCAAAAATAATAGCTGTACCTCTATTTACTCACAGTCACAGTTCACGTTATCAGTTGCTCCTCTGCATGGCAGAATTACATGGAACTGACAACACTGTTGTAAAAGCATATATTTTATATAGCGAACATCTTTTTCTCCAACTTTCCCTGTTCACAGCCACCGTCCCAAACCATGCTGTGGTTTTTCCTTCCTGTACTTGTTATCTGTGGTGACATTATATTTTTAGAGGCCACAACATCTGAAAGAGTTGGCATTTTTTTTTTAAATCAAATATATTATTCTAATTTGTTCAAATAAATTCCTTTCCACCTTTTTGCAGGACACACAATCCCACATAGTAAACTCAGGGTGCTGTATATAAGGATACTTGCAAACAAAAGAATTCCTACTCCATTTCCAGCTTGGTATTTTTATTCAGGTCAACATTGCTCAAGTCATAGTTCGGAAAATACTTAAAGACACAAAGCTCAGAGCTCGTTTAAAGACTGATTCATCACAGATTAAATCACTTCAACCAACATCCCATTGCTCCCCAAACAAAACAAACACTGACACTTTTCTAAAGTGACATTAAAACTGGCTCATATGGGAGACACAGAACCACACTGGTCTAAGTAATTAATAGATAAAAAAGGTTTGACATTTGGAAAAAGAAACAGAAGCAGACACATGGCAGTTGGGATGCAGAAGATCTTTTAGGCCTAAGCACAGCTCCACAGCTTGTTAGACAACGCAGATGAGTAATTTTGATCCTCCGTTTTTGTAACACTGTTAGTAAACCCACCAAGAGATCCTAAAGGAAAGCTGACAATAGGTCACTTTACTATAAAAAGCCCTCACACACAATAACTTTCAAACAAATAGAGGTATATCGAACAGTATTACTGTTACTCAGTAACTTCAAACGACAGGCAAATAAACCTTTTTTTTCTCCCCCAAATTAGAATAAACCAAAAATCTTTCTACTGAACATGAAGTTAAGAGGAGGATATTTAAACACCCCAAACAGTTGAGTTTTACAGAGTACAGAATTCAAGTACAACTCTTACGACCTTTATAAGAAAAAATATCGAGAGCTCGATTAAAGCTGAAATATAATCCTTTTAAAAGCTTAAAGATAAATTTAGTGAATAATATAGAAATACAGCCCCTTATTTTTCCCCCTTATGGCTTTTAAATACACATATTGTGTTTTAAAGTGCATTCATCCCGCAGTAAGAGAGATTTAAAAAAAATATGAAATAATTGAACACAGAGAAAACAGTGATAGTAGCCTAGGAAATACATAATACGCTGCCATGGAGCATCTGTTAAAGAATTATTACCGCAAAATTTATATATATAAATCAAAACATAAACAAATCTTTCTCACTGAGCAGAGGTTTCCAAAATTAGTCTGCCCTATTTCACGCAAGCTGTTGCTTTAGCATATTGACATATTAACACCAGTTTTGCCCTCCAGGTGCAAGGTTCACACACCTAGATGCGCGCTGGCTGCTCAGGTGCAACCCGAGCAGAGGTGCGAGCGGGTCCCTGCAGTCGCTGACCGCGGTGAGTCCCGCTGAGCTCCCCTGCGTGCAGGCAGCGTCACTCCACTCCCTGTGCCACTCTGGAGCTCCCAGCCATCACCATGGCCACTAAGGACACAGCAGGCTGGGAATAAACCCCAGCATCAGCCCGGGGAAGCCAGACACACACACCTATGAGCCCCGGCATGCTCTGGGCGCACACACTGCGGGCCTGGCTCAAGCTCAGGCCTCAGAAGCAAGATCCCTCTGCTGCCTGGTCCTTCCAGCCTGGTGATGCCAAAGATTTTAATGATCATTTTCCATCTGAAAATTTCTTCAGTACGATAACAGTTCAGCATTATAAAAAATGAAGTTAGAAGAATATTACCTAGTGACTTATTCATGAACATTAAGGGAAGTAGGTTTTTTTTTTAACCTAATAGAGCTACATTTACCCTGAAGAACAACACACTTGATCCTACAGATGGGTTTCCTTCTTTCCTTAACTCTACAGCCAGTCTACCCATTACTGTCCTTCAGTATGAAGCACTTATTTCAAGTAAATGGGCTAAGTTTTTGTATGTGTGTGTTTGGAGATCCCTATGCTTGAATGCCAGCTTCTTACTGAAAAGCTGCTCTTGGCCTTACTTATGAAATTGCAGCAGGCAATTCTGTATTGGGTTCAAACATCTGAGGAGAAGAAAGTTCAGAGCAAACTAACATTTCTGTCTCCTCCTTCATCCCGGAATATTCTGTAAGCAATGGTACATATACATATTTTTAAGTAAAATTATTTCAACATCTTTATTCACATTTTCCAGTTTTTGTAGTTTGTTGTTTTAATACACTTTTGCTATTATTAAGACTTTGTGGTAGGAAGTACCCAAGCACGCTGCTGTTTACTGTGACACTTCAGAAAAAAAAAAAAAAAACCGTTTTGTCAGTCCTTTCACAACAGAGTTTGAGGACACACAATTTAGATTAAAATTTGCAGTGCTGCAAATACTGCTAATGAAAGAAGTATCTGCTCTGATGTTACCAAGATACAAGCGAAACAAAACATACCACAATGTAGTTGATAAATTGATTCGCTCAGGAAGATAAGTGGTTTTAACTGTGTAGCACTCCACTAAAACTATTTAAAATCTGACGGGAAAGGAAAAAATCAATTTACTAACAGATTTATTTACTCAAAATGAACGATCTCTTGCATAGCCTAGAACCAGCCTTGCGTTCTGCCTGCAATCCAGACCAGAACCCAAGCAAAGGAAAGAAGGAAGGGGAAAACTTCACCAAAGCCTGAATATAATATTAAGACATAGAAACTGTTAGTTGACATTTTTATATTTAATATGCAGACTAAGAAACAAAAGCTATAGAATTTCAATACAAAATGTGTACCACACTTGTCTTTTAATATCTCAACAATAGCTATCACAAAGCAAGTTTTA